AGATACAATGTTTACATTGCATGGTTAAGACTGCCTCTAGTGGCTGTCTACCAGACAGACACTAGAGGCGCTTTAGCTGTGTCACAGAGTTGAACTGAACGTCCTCAATCTGTGCATGAGGATGTCCAACGTCTTGCAAAACCCCATAGAAAATGAAAAAAATAGAGTCAATGCTTTCCTATGAGGAAGGCCTAATGTGGGTGGAGGGGGGCAGAGGGACACTGTATTGTTAGGAATACAGTTTTGTCTTGTTATCTATCCACTGAACTGGTAGATAACACCATATTTACAAAGTTGCTATTAACTTGCTCCTGGATCTGGACAAAATTCAGACTTTTGTAAAAGTAGGTAACGGGCATGTACTCTTATTGTGATGGATTATTAAGTTGCGTTTAGGTTGAGTTTATTTATTAATTTATTGGTTTTAAATGTAAGGGTGGGCTGGGGACATGCCAGTGTATGTCACATCTAGTATGATGACAGATTTGAGGAAATGTATAAAGAGCAGTATTAAAATATACATGGAGAAAATTGCACAGTCAGAACATTATGGCACAAAATGGATTTAAAAAAACAAACAGTTTCTTATGCAGAAGCCCCAATGTGTCCTCTTTCAGCATGTGAATGCTACATACCACAGAGCAGGACTTTCATATACTACACAACAGCAGAAAGAACTAAACTGTATTAAAAAAATATTATTGATCTGAAACTGACTAGTACACTTCTTCATGCAGTGATAGACTACATGAGATACCAGCAATTGTGGTGGGAAACACAGACTACAGTGCGGGGAGCAATGTACTTAATCTATCACAGTGTTCTCGTAAACTACAAGCACTACAGCAGTACTCTAATATCTCCGGCCGCCGTATAGGTTCAAAATCACCAATTTTTGGCTCAAGCCTCTAAGGTTCGTAGGATCGACAACACAACATTCATCACACACACCAATTAACTGCGTTGCAGCAGGCAGTGGGTTAAGAAAGGTTTCAATTAACCCCCACAGTACCAGCAAGACCTCTCTCTTCACATTAATATTCTGGCAGCCATCTGCCTCTCTGTCTTCTAGGGAAGGGGCAGGAGGTTATTCTATTTCTGTGTGAATGCCCGGGAATGTTACATATTTATAGGAGGAACAGGAACAGCATAAAGTGAAATGATGTGAGAGGATTATTACTGAAATAAATCAGAAAAATGCACATTTCCAGGCAGCGCTGCCAGCCTCGCTGTGACCAAGTGTGAAAGGTTTACAGAACATGTTGGGCTTGCGGAAAAGGATATAACAGTACGAGGATAATGATAGCTAACTGTACCAGGCAAGGCCAAGGATTCACATCCCTCTGGGAGAATAGAGGTTAAATCTTTAGATTATTCTATTACAGACACTCAGTGGCCCTTGCTTTATATTCGATCTTGTCATCTTGAAACGTTTTTGATGAGGCTCTTCACAATATTTAATGCTTTTATAAAGGGTCACACAGGGTTAATATGTTGAAGATTTACATGAACAGGGGTCCATGGCGATTCAGTGCAGAACGAAATATTCTCTGTATTCTTTATTAGTATGCTAAAACCAAACACGACGGACCTGAATCAAGTGACTCTGTTCATTAAGCATATAGTGGCGTAAAACCGCAGAATAAAAATCCAACGCCATCAACTAAAATCCTTATCTGGATGTTCCCATCTCCACTTTTACTGCAATCAATTCAATTTCATCCTACTCAAAAAAGCTCCAATGCAAATGAGTTATGTGTGAAAATCAACATGTTTGAGAGCCTCAGCGGATGCTGACGGACAATGAACAATATGTATAAAGAGCATCTGTGGTCCAAAGAACTAAAAGTGGTACAACTGCATATATCCTATCACAGGGACAAGGGTGGGCAGGCCTGAAAGGGGCATTCCAGTGACAAAAATGTGCAGTCCTGGCCATAAAGAGGGTATAGCTGCCTGCAAAAAGGGCACACCAGCCTGGCCTGAATGCACGCCAGGCTGATGGACAGTCTCCAGGTTTGTCCCACCTGCAAAGAGCACCCTCTGCAGGGTCCTATGTACCTCAACACGCCGCAAGATCATCTAATTATGCTCTTGCACTATGATGGCTGTTCACTGGTATTCACAGATGTGAATACCAGCACTAAAACTAGGAGAGTCCCATTAAAATTGGGATAAGTGGGGGGGGTGGGAGGGGGGCATGCAACAGCCCTGAGACCCCATATTTTTGCTGGTTAAAATTCCCAGATCCACCAAGATTTTCAGAACAAATCACATTTATATATTCTTGGGTAACACATGCTGCATTATTGTATGTAGTATTCAGACACTAAATGCCCTCTGGAATTAGTTTTTGATTAACAAATGTACTTATTTCTTGCAGCATGGGAACACGTTACACATATTGCCTATTGGATCTGGCATCTCTATTTCTGGTTGATCCAAATGCCGTATAATTTATTTCTCTATACACAGCCCAATAGTGTTTTCAGTACCAGTAGTGAAACAGGTTAAAAAAGATTGTCACTATCTACAGATCCCACCTTGTCCACGTTAGCCCAGATCGCTGTAAATTCTATATGTGGTTGGCACATAGATGATTACTGCTGCCTGACAATATGTAGCATTTATCTGCTGCTATAAGAAATCAATTAAATAACCAGGATCATATAGAGCTGCAATGATTCTTTAATTGATTTATTCTGCAGCATATGAATTCTATATTCATTTATTGCTTGACAACAGGTGAAACACATACAGAGCTATTTACTAAGCTCCACATTGAAAACGGCTGGTGCAGGTCCTACAGAAGAGAAGGGGTTAAGTGTTAGAGCTTATTAAAGCCCACATGCACCCAGCCTTGTGGATTTAATGTATGAGACAAATTACAGAGTAGCTCTCTCTCTTAGATAATTAGGATTTCGGTCAGCGGAGGAGGGGAGGGGTATATTGCTCAATCTCACTGTTTTATTGGAAAGTGTTTAAAATTGATTGTCATTTTTTTGTGTGTGTGTCTGTTTTCAGTATTTTACTCTTGCAGAGTGTTTATTACACACTGGGTAGTGTAGAAATAACAAGCTAATGCAGATGTGCATCTGAGAGAATTATGATGAATACCAAACACATTTTCCATTTTTAAAATTTATGTTTCTATTGAGCTTATTCCATGCATAAAGGGCAATATGAGGAAAAAGCAACATGACAGTAAAATCTTGGAGTGTACCCAATAAATTAACTATCCTCTGAAATCAGCAAACCCCCTTTAAAATTAGTTTGAATGAGTTTCAAATTGGGGTTTATAGAAATATATCCAAAACATCCCTGAAAATGTTCAGGTAACTTGAAAAGTGGTCAGAAGTGAGGTCCTAAGTCAAGCATAGGCAACCTTCGGCACTCCAGATGTTTTGGACTACACCTCCCATGATGCTTTGCCAGTATTATGGGTGTAAGAGCATTATGGGGGATGTAGTCCACAACATCTGCAGTGCTGAAGGTTGCGTATCCCTGTCCTAAGTCATTTCCAAATCGGCATCAAATTAAAAATATAAGTGTACAGCTTCGTCTATTAACTCACACTATGGACAACCTTGTAAAGGTTGGTAATAAACCAAGTAGAGATCAGAGAGCACCCATCTCCTTCCCCAACAACCTAAGCTGTGGGATGGGTGAGGTACTGGTTTAAATCTTAGGACAACTGTCACAACATTATTACAGAGTGTAATGATTTCAGTAAAGTTATGGAGTTACATTAAAAAGAAAAAAAAAAGTCTTATCTCCGCTACACTTCCGCTCTCTGGACTACAGTCGTCCCATGATGCCTCAGACATGCATGGAGAAATTTCACGAGCATGTGTGCGTGACATTGTCTCCAGCATTATAGTATGTGTGTATAAGCCGTGTATGGTACTGCAGGGGGTTTGACTGTTAAAAATCTGTTAAGAATTTAAAAAAAAAAAAATTAAACAATGGCTAACTTTTAGTTAGCTAGTTATGTGTGCAAAAATTTCTGAAGTAAAATTTACGTTTTCATTTACAAATTTATTTTGTATATCGTTCAATGGATTGGTGGGAAACGGTGATCACACAGAGTAGTTTATTCACTAAACTCTGAATTATCAATTGAAATCCAAAAAGCAAATATTTAGCAAAAATAGCTAAGCTGTGACCATGATTGACTTGTAGAAATTTTCCAGAACATCAATTTTGCAGTCAGATTTGCAATTCAAAGTTTAGTGAATAACCTCGAGACTGTCAGGAATTCACTTAGGAACTGTAAATTTAAGGTCAAAACAGCTGAGATGCCTGCCTTACTGTACATACTGAACTCAATTACAAACTGAACATATTTGATATCAATACAAAAGACATTGAGCGTAATTTGAATTTGCCACATTTGCATAAACTTATGTGAGCTTGTGTGAGATGTAAAGCAACAATTTTACATAAGTGTGTGTACATTTAACTGGAAATCTAAATGGTTTGCCAAAACGCACCACTTCCTCATTTAACATCGCTTGGCATGTGAGGGAGTATTTCTTAACAGCCTGAGATAGAACAACACATGTACAAAGCGTACAGGGAAAACACACAAAAACATCCTGCTTATCAAAGCAGATTTTCAGGTAGCGTGGACTTTTTCTTAACTTGTGAGCATAATAATCACACCACGTCAAAGAGTGGAACATTATAAAGAGTGCTGCATGATCGTAAATCAAAAATAACAACCAAGTCTATACACCATATAAAATTTGCTGTGAATTTGATGAAGTAAAACATGCTCTCTTTATATTTTTACAGATTATACTATAAATATGAAAAAAAAAAATTTCATCAGACATTTAATAATCTTGCCTTCTGCTCAACAAGGATCTTTCAGTTGCTCATACGCTCACATATAACCCCAAGTTAAAGTTAGATCTGAAGGGACATTAATGGATAACTGGAACTCTATCATAGTCTTCAAAGTCTTCTTCTAGGATACAGAGCTTCCTTTCGGCGAGATGGAGAAAACGTATTCCCTAACTGCTCACTACGATGAGTTCCAGGAAGTCAAGTATGTCAGTAAATACAACAGCAGTAGCACCCTCTCCAATGGGTTCAACATCCAGGTTAATCCCAAAAAGCAAGCAAAGACCATTCCTCGCTGGAGCAGAAGGGAGACCTGCCTATTATCTGGACTAGTCTTTGCCGCAGGACTATGCATCATATTGGGGTGCATGTTGGTGCTAAAATATTTGTCACTGGAACAAGATGGGCAATGTCTGGACGGGTGTCAAGAAAGAAAAGCTTTCATGAGGGCTTCCAAATTTATTAGCAACAATATAGACCCCACAATATCTCCCTGCAATGACTTCTACTCCTTTGCCTGTGGGGGATGGATGAAAAAACATAGGATCCCAACAGACAAGCTCATCTATGGCACGATTGCTGCTATAGGTGAACATAATGAGGAGAAGCTGCAGCACTTGCTCCTACAACCTGTGCGAAGAAAGCACAGACATTCTGCGGAAAGGAAAGCAAAGGAGTTCTTCAGATCTTGCCTCAACATGAGAGACATTGACCGCCTGGGTGCCAAGCCCATGCTGCAGGTTATCGAGGACTGTGGAGGATGGGACTTGCCAGAGAACCCAAGAACTAGGTGGGACTTTAATGAACTTCTATATAAAACCCAAGCAATCTACAGCACAGCAGCATTCTTCTCGATGACCGTCAACTTAGATGACAAGAATGCCTCCAGATATGTCATCAGGGTAAGTGATTTGTAGTGGAACACAACCTTGGCATCACATAATTAAACTGCCATCAAATAAAGTCTAAAAATAACTTTAAATAAATATCTTCCAGTGAAAATCATTTTTTGTATATAGTTTTATGAAACACAAGAAAATTAAATGACCAAACTAACATAAACATATTGTTCATCAGTAATAATTACAAAGCACTGTCTAATAGTAATATAGAAGACTAGTTGATGGAAATGATAATCAATAAACCCAGGTCCTGAAGACGGTTGTTAAGCACTGTGTTTTTACGTGATTTAGATGCATGGTTATTTCTTGTGAGAGGAAAAATCACTCAATACGCGGTGCTTGACAAACTTCCGACAAATATACAAAAATAACACATACACTGTAAATTTATTTTCTGTCAATGGAAAAATTGTATCAACATGGTGTGTACCACATGCAATACATGATCACCCATGCCACTAACCAGTATACCGATGGGATGGTGCACTCAGAGTATGAATTGTGAGGAATTCTAGTGAATTTAAAAATACAGGCCAAAATAGATGAATAAGAAAGAAAATCTCAGTTAGCTGTGTTTTTTTTCTTAGTTTTGCTATTTTGGCCTACAATTTTTATTTAAGTGCATTCATAAAGATATTTGGCATATGTTTTTTTTTCTTTTCTTAAAGGACTTACAGCACTCTGTAGTAGTTTCGCTGCCAGGAGTGCCCCATCCCTTTTCTTGCAGGCCACACAATCACACAAAGACTACACACATTTCATTATATTATTTGATTTATTACAGTGGTACACATTACTCTGTGTTTTATAATTGGGGCGCTCTTTGATACACTAATAAGCACATTGCTGGGAGTCAGGGCCGGACTGGGAGAAAAATTCGGCCCGGGCATTTTTTTAACACAAAAAAAAAGGGGCGGGACAGAGGAGGTGTGTTTTGTCATCACCAATGACAAACACGCCTCCTCTCAAAGTGAGCATGTTGGTTCAATGCTCTTCCAGGGCAGACCATGTGCAGAGCTCTGCTGAAGAGCTCTAGCATGAGAAAAAAGTCCTGTATTTGTTCTGCACAGTGCAAGCAAATTTAATAACATGCTTGCACTGTGTTTCCTTGCAACTTGTCTCTGGTGTCTATAAATGGATACCAGGAGACAAAAGGCCAGGAAAGAGTATTGTGCATGTGTTTGGAGCCTGCTTGTGGTATTGCGTGTGTGTAGAGTGAGCTGGTCGTGGTGTGGTATTGTGCAATAAGGTCGGTTTTAGTCGTGTTGTGTTTGTGGTGTAATGTGATGCATATGTGGCTCAGGGACCCCCTCCCGCCCGGCTCTGGAAAGGGGTTAAAACTTACCTTTTTCCAGCGCCGGGCGGGGAGCTCTCCTCCTCCGATCCGCCCCGTCGGTTGAATGCGCACGCGCGGCAAGAGCTGAGCACGCATTCAGCCGGTCGCATAGGAAAGCATTTATAATGCTTTCCTATGGACGCTTGCGTGCTCTCACTGTGATTTTCACAGTGAAAAGCACGCAAGCGCCTCTAGCGGCTGTCAATGAGACAGCTGCTAGAGGCTTTGGGGGAAGGCTTAATCCATTGATAAACATAGCAGTTTCTCTGAAACTGCTATGTTTATAAAACAATGGGTTAACCCTAGAAGGACCTGGCACCAAGACCACTTCATTAAGCTGAAGTGGTCTGGGTGGCTAGAGTGGTCCTTTAAGAGTGTAGTGTGTATATATATATATATATATTTGGAAGTATTGTGTATGTGTGTGGTGCAGTGTGTTGGGGGGGTTCTGTGTGTATGTGAAGGGTGCAGTATGTGTGTGTGTGAGGGTGCGGTGTGTGTGTGAGGGGTGCGGTGTGTGTGATGTGTGTGAGAGTGCCGTGTGTGAGTGATGGGTGTGAGAGTGCCGTGTGTGAGGGCTGTGTGAGATGGGTGTGAGAGAGTGCTGTGTGAGAGAGTGCTGTGTGTGTGAGAGAGTGATGTGTGTGTGAGAGTGCTCTGTGAGAGTGCTGTGAGAGAGTGCTGTGAGTGTGATGGGTGTGAGAGTGCTGTGAGAGAGTGCTGTGTGTGTGTGAAAGTGCTGTGTGTGATGGGTGTGAGAGTGCTGTGTGTGTGTGAGTGCTCTGTGAGAGTGTGCTGTGTGTGATAGTGCTGTGTGTGATGGGTAAGAGAGTGCTGGGTGTGAGTGATGGGTGTGAGAGTGCTGTGTGAGAGTGATGTGTGTGATGGGTGTGAGAGTGCTGTGTGAGAGATTGCTGTGTGTAATGTGTGAGAGTGCTGTGTGTAATGTGTGTGAGAGTGCTGTGTGTGATGGGTGAGAGTGCTGTGTGTGATGGGTGAGAGTGCTGTGTG